TATGCTAATAAGAGCCTCATTTAAGTGGCTCTTTAAAATTATGTTTACACAATTATGGCATTTGAGATTCTTACTAAAAACTATTTATGAAAGAGGTAAGATTGTATTAAACTATATATATTTATAACAAATTTAGTGTTATCTAGTCTATTTGACCTTATTTTTGCCCGTTAAATTGATTTATATAAAATACAACTCTTTCCACAATTATTTAAATAATAAATCGCGAATAATAAGAGTTACCTCTAGATGGGAAAATTTTCTCGTAAATGGTTTTTAAGATTTAATGTAACAAAACTTTACCTTATTTTAAAAGTAAAAGGTCAAAGAGAATTCAAATGTTGAATCTACAATCAAAACTGTTTTTTAACCTTTGGGATATTTAAATTATTCATAAATTAGTTCATACAACCCGAACTAATGAATTAAACAAATGAATGTAGGCAATTAGGTCTTTTCAAGATTAATTTACCTCGAAAAGCTGAACAAATATATTTGGGAAAAAGAATGAAATTGATATAATTTGTGAATAATATCTCTATTAACGTTTTAAAACTGATGCAATTAGGTAACTTTAAAAAATCCTGGATACAAATTTGGCTTCCATAAGTTATGTTCAGAGAAAAAGTAAGAAAAATCTTTTCGCTCATGCAAATAAGTTGAATATCCTAAAAAGTTTAAAATAATACAAAATAAAATTAAACAGCTGAAATAATTTAGGCTATTGTCTTCGTTTACTTTCCCAAAACCGTAAAATTTACATTAATAGTACTTTCTGAAGAGTTTTGCTTAGAAAGTTTCTCTTTCCAGAAAGAGTCCAGATGAATAACTTTTCTAAAAGAAATATTATGAAAACTGGTTCGGAAATCTTTGAGAAAAATAGACTTTTTAGTTACACTTTATTGAAATTAATGAATAAATCAAAAATATTATAAATTTAAGATAAACAAAACTGAGTGAAATTGACAGACTAAATGAGTTTGTAAATTATGTGAATAGATAATTAGATAGGACCTTAATGTTCTGCGCACAATATGACTCAGAAAACAAGCACTGAGTTGTGCAGAATTTTAATCCTAAAAGAGTTCAAGTACTACCTTTTCGAGATTTTAATGTAAATAATGTAGTCACTGGGATAATTACAAGAAAATATGATTTGAATCTTTAAAAGTTATATAAAATAATATCTGGCATTATTAAGGTAAAAAATGCTGAAATTATTTATGATAAGAAAAGACAGGAAACATTTCATTATATAAATAATGTAGCAAATGTAGGAAGAAATTTAAAGAATAGTAGGAAATTTTTATCAATAAATAATATACTTAGATAAATTGATTTAATTAATGAATAGTTTTA